ACCCCATCGACACTTCGCAAACTTTTATGCGCTCAATCGCAAGCTCCATGCAGGTCTCATCACGGGTAACGGATTTGGGTGATTCCTCCGCACTAGCAGTAGGACATGAAATGCACCTCGTTCAAATCATTGAACTTGAACATGGGGACACTGCACCTTATTCGCAAACGAAATGATCTATATAACTCCAGCAAGCTTGGATGGCCTCACAAAAAAACGGGGGGGGAGTGGCGGGATCATGGAAAGTAATGAGAGGACCTAAAACGATGACACCGGCAGGCATGGATGGCCGTTACAAAGGCGGGGGGGGTTGGGGGGAGCGCAGCATTTGCAAACCAAATGATCCGCATAACCCTCCCCTACCGATCATCAACTACTACCAACACAACTGCTGCTTCAGGAAAAATACAGAAAGCGAGAAACCGCGGAGCCAGAAATCGAAGAAGCCAGAAAGCCCAGAAGCCAAGAAGCCAACAATCCAAAAACAAGCCAGAAGCCAAAAACCCAAGCAGCCAACAGAAAGAAGGCAGAAGTCAGATGAACATGACGGAAAATGATGAAGATGATGAAAGATTATGCAAGTGATAAAAATCGTGAAAAAATGATCAAGCATGATGAAAAATGATGAAAGTGATGAAAAACAATAGGAAATGAGGAAATACGAGAAAACATGAAACTGATAAGAAAAAACAAGAAAATACCAGAAGACAAATTGTGAAACAAAAATTCGAACACGCTCCACGCCAGGGCCACCTCAAAAAAGAAGTCCCCAAAAAAGAAAACAGTCCCAAAAAAATGGGCCCTCCGCAATTTATTGTCTTCTGGTATATGTCATACTTTACTACATGCAATTCTTTCTGGCATCACATACCGCAACAAGTAGTCCTCATCACGGGTAACGGATTTTGGTGTCTCTTCTGCACCGGCAGTAAGGCAACATAGGCACCATGATGAAATCATTGGCTACCCGCCTCTAACGGCACATGGCTGGCGTTGGAGACGATACTTTCAGGCCAGCACGGTGGTCTTTGGCAACTGAACAACTCATTTGGGAGCCAGGGTGGGCTGCCCAGGGCATACTTCCTGGACAGCTACAGCTAATGCACCCCATCGACACTTCGCAAACTTTCACGCGCTTAATCGCAAGCTCCATGCAGGTCTCATCACGGGTAACGGATTTGGGCGATTCCTCCGCACTAGCAGTAGGACATGAAATGCACCTCGTTCAAATCATTGAACTTGAACATGGGGACACTGCAAAGTCACTGAACGACCTGACCCGACCAAAGCTTTGAGTTCAACTTTGAAAGTAACGCAGCACAGACCCATTCCAAGTCCTGACACTGCTGAGCCAGCCAGGTATGCAAAGGTATGCTTTGCCCACACCAAGCATGACACCCAAGTGATGTTCTCATCACGGGTAACGGATTCTGGTGCGCCCTCTGCACCAGCAATAAGAAACGAATGCCACCATGATCACATCACTGAAAAATTGAGATCAAGCAAGGCATGTGGCAAACAGGCCAAGTAGATACAAGGCTGCTGTTCTCATCACGGGTAACGGATTTCGGTGTTTCATCTGCACCGAAGATAAGACAAAGGTGCACCTGGATATAATCATTGAACAAGAGGCCACAGACAACGATGCACCATGATGCACCAGTGGCTGCTGCTGAAGCAGTGGCGTCAAGCGTGCTTCTTGAGGTGATAGACGTATCATATCACGCATCAGTCGGCAAGAATATGCATCTCTGTCAAGGACTGCCATCCCCACAAAATACGCATCAAAAGCCGAAGCATACGCCAGGAAATACCAATCCCCACCAACGCTCTGGCTCAAAGCAATCAATTGGTGCGAGTCAAGTCAAATACCTGGCAGCTTCATGTACTTCAAGCTTAGTAGGCGTTTTCTCACGCCCGAGCACGATCCTTCAACTTCACCCATTCTCAGAAAGTAATATAGTAGGGAGATACATTTCGGCTTTACTTGAAGTCTCATGGCCACATTGTATGCTTAGACTGCCGAGTCTGGGCATACAAGGGCTAGGGTGTAGATGGCGGAAATCTGGCACGTCAGGTACTTGACGTAAACTTAGTCAACGCTAATGGATGCAACTTTCCCTGACGTGTTTCGCGATGTAATGCATAAACCGATGCGAATTCGTACGGGGCTTCACTGCATCTTGCTGCATGTGAACGCAGGGAGAAGGGTACGGTACCTATTGCTCGCAGGCACGCGGGCTAGCCTGAGAGATAGTTCACAATACAATCAAGGCAAGATACCTCTATGACAACATAACACAATGACACCCATATCACTCCTGCACTCTTCCCACATGGAAGAAGCGACACGCCAAGCGTCAGCCCGCTGCCATCCCGGCCCTTGAAGAAGAGGTCTGGCTTGTCATAGGAAACTGGCAGAAAAGAATGCCACCATTCGGTACAATCAGAAGGCATGGGTAGATTTGATATTGCAGCAGACAAGTAAGCAAGCTTCGCAATGGTCCCTGCTGCAGAACATCCCAAACAGGAGCCGCAACTGGACCTCAGATGGCACATCGATACCATGTTGGAGCATTGCAACTGTGGCCTAGGTCCCTAAAGAAACCAAGGAGAGACTGCAGCGCTTGGTGCCCCCACTGCAAAGACAAATACACCAATGGCAAAAGCAAAGGTGCTTGCCTCAGAATTTGACAAACATATGCTTAGGTGGACCCCCACCCAGTAGTAGTGACTACAAGGGATAGTGGTGATTATATCAAGGTCTTCTTAGGTGGGGGTTCACCTAAGATATGCCACTGGAATCAAGAAAAGCAAGGCTTCCGTTTGCTTGCTCGGCGCCGGGCGGACAACAGAAACAGCAAGCTGGACCTCGAGTAAACGGGACGCGTCACTGCTGCAAGGGGGTCCGTTTGCTCCAATGTTTCACCATCCTGTTCTTGCAGTCTTGCCAGAAACTGGGTTGCTGTTAAGCAACTCGGATTAAGTTACCCATTATTGACTATATGCCAGTGTGGTAACTTGATTTAAGTTCCTTAACAGCACCCCAGTCATTGGGTTATAAACACTCACTATATATAAACTCAGTTTCCAATTCATTTTCCATGTTCTTGTCCACGTGATTCTGGGTCTCATATTCCGAAACCCTGAACCCGAATCCCAAACCCTGAACCCTAATCCCTGAACCCTAGCAGAAGGGCCCTCGAGGGCCACACCCCCGCTTCATGAGCGGCAAGCAGAGCGCGTCGAGCAGCAGCGAGCAGCGAGCCCCTGCCTTGGAAAGAGTGCGTTAACCAAACCGTTATATGGGTGGCTGGTCCCTGTTTGGGTACCCTAAGTATTAGGTGCCGTATTAGAATAGGGATCCAAAAATGGGCCATAGTTTTGACAACCCTCCATATAGGATTTAGGATCTAGGGTTTACGATTAGCCAGAGCTGGAAGCTAGCAAGGCTTCTTGTAGCACTGTACGTATTTGGCATCACCCCACCCTCCCAGAATCCGTGTTCATTGAACATTCTTACCTGCTTTTCTTCCTTCGCTCGCCACCTGCCTGTGTCCCTGCAGAAACCTCCCAACAGCTCTCAAGTGAGTGTTCGGGGTGTGCTAGTTCGGAATGGGAGCAGCCAGGCCAGGAAAATCACACAGTGTTGATTAAAGCACCACCCGAAGAGGGGGGCCTGACGCAGTTTTGTTTTAAAAGCCCAAAGGTGCTCAATCAGCAAATACCAGAAATAAATCCCAAGCCAGATGCGGCGGTTTTGGTACCTGCACCGGAAAATGAAGCTCAATTAGGGCCCCCTAATCAGGCTCCAAAGGGCACCTCCAGGGGCCTCCGAAGTCTCCAGCAGCCTCCGCTCCAGGCAGCGAACCCTTAACCCTAAATCCTCCATCCTAAGCCTTGAATCCTAAATACTAAACCCTGAATCCTGAATCCTAGATCCTACACCCCAAATCCGAGACTCTCAAACCTCAATCCTAAGCCCTCAATCCTAAACCGTAAATCCTAAATCCAAAACCCTAAACCCTAAATCCAAAATCCTAAATCCTAAACCCTAAATCCTAAACCCTAAATCCTAAACCCTATATGGGGTCTATATGGGGACTAAATAGCAATTATATGGGGGGTATATGAGGGGTTAACAGGGATTACATGGTGCAGACCCTGCAGGGCCCCGGCGCCAGCAAGCCATGCAAGAACGTCCCAGCTGCTGAAGGCATTACTGCACAGAACGGCAAGAATGGCTGTGAAGAGACTTGCCACCACCTATCCGCGCCTCCTGCCATCACCCAGCCGAACAGGCTGAGTTAAGCATACCGCAGCCTCAATGTATTGAGCTGGCTTCGGGGATTGCACTGCACACATAGCTGGCCGGTCAGAACTACAGTACAAATCAAGACTCTAATCGTTTCTTTTCAGTACACTTGAATCCACTGCTCCCTCGAGCACATGCAGATAATCTCAGTCTTCCACGGCCAATTCCAAGGTAGCTTGCGTTCCCAGGAGGAACACCTCAGCATCTCAGCGCCTAGATGGTATCCGCCTGGTTTGAAGTTGAAACCACAACTTAACAACCTAGCCGAGACCTAGGCGATGCTAAACTGACACTGCTGCCGAGAACCCTTCTGATTAAGTCGGAACCCTACCAAAAATTGAGCTTCCGGCACACGCCAAAGCAACTTCCATTGGCGGGAGGGCCTCAAACAATGAGGCTAGACGCAAATACAGACCAACAGAGCTATTGCAGGAAAGCTGCCTTCGTGCCGACTTCCTGCAGAATCAGGATACGCTTGCTCGCAGTAAAGACTGCCGATTCGTACATGGTTCAGCACACTTGAAATACAGATCCTAAGGGTTGCATGGGGCTTGACAGAGGTCCTGATTTACGGCAAGTGCATTGCATGCTATATTGGCGACACATGGCCTTACAGCGTTCCAGAGGGTTGCTTTCAGTGCCCAACAATGCCAACTTTCTAACTGAGTGCATTCCTACCAAGGTCAAGAACAAACAAGCCCATTGCGCGTTAGCTCCTCCACGCGAAGGTAGAAGGAATACCTTAAGCAAGACTCTGTTGGCAAGTCGAGGAAGAAACGCACGCTGCAAGCACGCTGGGGAAAGGACGCACAGTAGCTCAGAGTGGACCAGTACGCAAGGAAGTTTACCTAAGCGCTCTGAAAATCTTCTTTCAGCCAATGCCTGTGAAATCAGGCAGCATCATGCAAGCAGGATGCCACCAACAGCGCACGGATCCTGCCAGCAGCACATGACTGATGTCTTGGAGATGCCCTTTGCAGACGCCCAACCTTCTGAAGCACCGCTGTCTGAGATCGTACACATCTGGTAGAGTCGCTTGATCCGCTTCCTGTCAGCTTGGTGTCGCCGGATCCTGAAGCCCCCCGCGGAACCATTTGTAAGGGCACCTCGCCCTGCCGCTGCCTCGTGCTGCCTTCCTGCCACACACATACATCTATGTTGAACATTTGAACTAGAGATCCGTCTCATGCACCTAGCTCAGTCTTACCAGCTTGAATCAAACAAGCTGCTGAAATATCAAACCTTGCTGTTTCACATGAGCATCCTGCCCCTGAAGACGGTTTCAGCAGGGAGTCCTCCTGCTCCAGCAAGTACTCACGTAGGACTTGGGTGTCATAACGGCTCGCCTTTGACAACATCTGCTCTCTGCAAGGGGAGGAACACATCATTTCATTTTGCGTTGACTGCGGGCGGTGCCAAGTCTTCCAGATCTAGCGATGATTCCGACCTGCCGGCTCAAGCCCGTGCACAAGTGTGTCGCACATTGATAGCCACGCCTTGCCATCACGGACAAGGTGAAGGACGAAAAAAGAGAATGGCTGAGTAGAAGTCACTCTTCTTGCCCATGCAGCTGAAAACTCTGACAGACTTGAGTTTGTCAGGGAGCTCACTGTTATGGGGCTTCCGCATGCAATCTTGCAGGCAATGCAAATGTACCTGCGTTCTTTGTCTATGCATGTCTTCCTCTTTGTACCAGAAAGCTACGCATTCAACAGGCTGAAAAAGCTTGTGTGCGCCACACAATTGCCCCAAGCCCCCATCAAAGCTTTTTCTGATGGCTCAAGGTCTCGACGCGAGCCAATGCATCCTGCTCTGCATGCGCAGGAGGTTCTCTCACTCTCACTTCCAAGAACTGCTCTGAACTTCGTCCTGCACCTGCGTGTCCAGGAAGTTCTCCGCTGCAGCGCAGGAAAGGTCTTGCCTTGTCAGCCCGCATGCTCCGACTCAGTCGATACTCAGATACTGGTCGTTGCTCCAAGCCAGGACCCGGCCTGGCACCCAGCAGGTTGCCCAGCGCCTCTCTGATCAAGCCGCGTCTCAGTAGCGCGCGACTGCAGTTGGGCACCTTCATATTTTGCGGCAGAGACCAAAATCACCGACGAGTGCGTACAGTTTGGAAGGGCCATGTCTGCACCTCAGTGAGAACCTCTGTCAGCGTAGCCTTCACCATGACAAATCTGAGATCGAGGACGCATGTGCAGGCCCGGTCCAATGAAGCCTCTGCCATTTCAAGGTTGCCGCCCTGCTGCTGCAGCGCAGATACCTGACAAGGCACATGGACAAGATGGGCATGCAAATGACCCGTAGTAAACATAGCAAGCAGGAACTGGCCTCGCACATCAGCGCAAGCCAAATCTCTCGAGCCTCAGAAACCGGCAGGGAGCACATCGCGGAAGTGCAATATATCATAGCATTAGTCTCCTTTCAATTTCAGCCAGGCAGCACCCATTTTATGCGCTCCTTGCGCGGCCGACTGCCAGGCCTCTGCAACAGGCAGCCACGGCAGCCGTCCCTCGATAAAGTTGCAAACCTGGGAGTCGAGCAGAGAGGGCCTTATCGAAATCACCTTTCTCGAAAGCCTGCCACACTGCTTTGGCACAGAAGCTTTGCAAGCCAAGCCCGCATCGTGGATGGCTGAAGTGCACTGCGGAACGATTCGCTTGTTTTCTGTCGCGGGCTGGGGTGTTGTCAAGAGTTGGCCCACTGGCTTCAGCAGCGTTCCTGCTGCAGCATTCCTTGCATGTGGCTGCAAGATAGGCTATTGAGTTTCGCTGCCCTGGACGAACATGACTGTTACACCAAGACACTGCTTGCCACCACGCGCACCATCTACCAGCATCCAACCACCTTCAGTCAGTTGCACATCATTAGAAAGCCGTATCGACGGCTCACTCGCCCCAGCCTTCCTCCAGCTCAACCCAGCCATCGAAGCAGCGGCCCGTGCAGTGGACAATCTCCCCAGGTTTGCGAGCCTCAGGATTCACAGCCTTTCATGGCATCCCCCGCAAAAGCAGCCGTCTCAATGGTCCAAGGAGCCCCCATCAGCTCTGTTGCCGTGCTCGGGCCCTGGAGTGGCGCAAACATGTGCTTATCAGCCTTCGGAAATATCTGAAGCTCCGTCCCAAATGAGCATGAACCTGTCCTTTGCCACACCATGACATTAATGACCAAGCACGTACAGAAACAGGGGATCAAAAGGGAGTATCAACAGTTGGACCGATCACGGAAACTGCGTACCCTAAACGTGAAATAGCAATCCTGGCAGCTTGCCCATGGCAAACCCTGTTCTGCATCGCATTTACAACAGCACTTGTTTCCAGCATCGGCAAAAGCAGATTTCCTGTGACTGAACCGTGGAGTCACATCTTAGCTGCGAATCCTGTTGAAATCCAAAAGATGTGGGGAATTCCAAGAATGGACAGTCTCCCGTAGATACCCCGAAGTACTGCAAGCCTGATTATAGGGACCCCGAAAGGGTACGGTCAATTTTTAAAAACCCAGATCAGCTCCTTGTGAACCACCATACAACCCTGGTTGTCATGTAATTGGCCTTTTCTCGTCTATTTGATGATCCCGTATTGGGATACTTAATACCCTCAATTTCAGCACATCCTAAGCCCTATATATCCCTATAGGCAGCTCCATAAGCATGTAGCCATGCATGTAACAAGTATGTAAGCCTCTAGAGGAATCAAATCACGATGACTGCGCTACTCGGACAGACCCCTGTCTCAGCCCTGACAAATGGAAAAGCGTCTATGCTCAGCATGTCATTACCCTGAATACGCTAATCAGGTTTGGAGTGTACTTACCTTACCTTGTGTAAAAGTGCAAAGATAATTCCTGTTGATCCTTCAGGTGTCCACATTGAGCACAGGCCTTCCGAACGAACACCATCGGCGCAAAGACTACCTCAGTAATGATTTCGATTGTCACCCTTCATCTTGCTGAAAAAAAAACGATGGGAGCGATCATCTTACAGGTCACAGTCCTCATGTAGCAGCCTAAGCCTAAATGCCCTTGAAACTTCGTCGGTATAGTTGCATGCAAGGTCCATCCATGCTCAGAAACATTCCACAGGAAGCAGCCATGATATGGGGTCTCTCAACGGGAGGCATAAGAACCCTAGGAAAGCATGTGGAAAACGAAGCGAGTATGGGGTCGCAATTGACCATGATGTAGGAGTCGCTTGGAGAAACTCCCGAAAAAATCAAGAAACGTCCACATGTATCTCCTGACCTGAACGGTGCCAATCCCCTTCAGGCGGCTCAGAACACATGTGCGGGTCTACACTGGTTCCTACACTTGATAGCCACTTTAAGGACTTGTTTGTACGTAGCAGAAACCCAAACACAGGACCCGTAAGCGGCACTCTTTAGGGAGGTGACCCCAGACATGCCTGGACCCACAGCCCTGAAACTCTACCCTCATTTGAGCAATACTACAAAGTCCTAGTATCCCCGTCAATAACGCAATAGTCCCCTATATAATCCCGTTTAAGGAGTTTAGATCATGGTTAATTTAGCATTGTAACTTCTGGGCCTTGAAGCCCCATGCACGGCACCGATTGAGGACAATCCGGAGAGGTGGGTAAGTATAGCGGGGCCTGTAATTGACCCCTTGCGCTATGTAAATCCAGTTTCCATTTCATTGTATGTTTCCTTTTATTTTGCATGTGATTCTCCATCATCCTAATCCTAAACTCTAAGCCGATCCTAAACCCAAATGGTAGCTTCCATATGATTGTTCATGTGATGCTCACCTGTTACCTCAGAACCACCCTCAACCCTGGCCTCGTAGGAGGCGTACACGTCCTCCTCCGGCACCCCGGCGGCATCCTCCCAGCCCTGCGAGTTTTCTTAACTACTACAACTATTACCATTCTTAGTCTTGTTTCCTATTATTAGTACCATTATCTATTGCTATCATAGCTATCAGTTCTAGGGCTCAGGGTTTGGAGTTAAGATTTTTGAAGCTATCCAGAATGGTACAGGACGTAAGGCGCAAGGTGTGCTTAAGGTCTGGGTTTGTTTGCGTTGCATCCGTTTTCATCTGCATTCTTAGGATTTGGGGGGTGATCTAAGGCTTAGGGACTTCGGGTCAAGGGTTATTATGGAAATGAGCACCCTTCAGGTCCAAGGTTGTCTCAGCACCCCCAGTCTTCTACATGGTGGTTTCCAAAAATTAGCGATCCCTGCTTTGCAGCCTTGTAACAGGGACTATAAGGACCTAAAACGTATGTTGAGTTCAACAAGCGGTAACTTGCTTTGCAAATATCATTGACTTGCTAGTGCAGTCTGCTAAATTTGTAGGTGACGTTTTGAAGATCCGCCCCCTCACTGGCGTTGAAGACCTTGTCCTGACTCTCTGATCTTGTGCAGATTTCTAATACTTGAGGCTGCCACTCCTGCTGGATGTCTCAGCCCTTGACCCCCAACTTAAACCCCCAAGCCGAGGACCCACCCATCTTGACTGCAGCTACCAAAGGAGAAATGCAACAAGATGAAAAAATGGAAGTGTAGATAGATTCCAAGTACTCCACACCCGAGCCTCAGGGAGGATACTGCTGAGCGCGTGTAGCTGGATGCTGGGGTTCCTTGGGCTTCTTCTTTGCATGTTTGTGATTTGTTTACTGTCCAATGACAAAATCTAGTAGTGGTACAAGTACTGCTACTGCCGTTACTCAGATATGGCCCAGATTCAGCAGCGCGACGTAAATGGCCAAGTTAGAGTCCACGCAAACCAGATGCTGGCATCTGGACAAGCACAGCGCATCAATCAAGGCATCTTCTGCATCAGCTTCCACGCAGGGATTTCGGTGCACCTGGACTGAGGACGATGCGCAGAACCGATTGTGCAGCTCACTGCAGCTTGCAAAGCCAAACAAGATGCAGCGATATGCAGCGCATGCAACGCATCGCCTCATTGTCGACACCATCCTCGCGAACGCCACCCTGTGATCGCTTCACCTCGCTCCGGTAGCACAGCTGGACGTCACCGCAGGTCGGGAAGGCAAGCTGGAAGTCCTCGGCAGCCTGCAGCTATGAAAGCACTACAATCAGGAAGCCAACATCATCCGTCACCGTCCCATATCATCCCTTCCCTCCCGGCCCGGCCTGGCTGTCATCCGTGGCCAGGAAGACCAGCTTTCGCGTCTTTTCGCTTGCGGAGAAAATCTTCCGTGCTTTGGCGATGAACTCTGCACAAGAAGGAGCGCGCTGCGATAGCTGGCAAGCAACCATCTCTGAGCAAGCCAGCCTCTTGTGCACGCCCACTACACAAGTGTCCTGGCTAGAAGTAAAAGCATGACATGAACATCAACAAACTACATTGTGAGGCCAAGCGGAGGAATCCGAGGGCACGCAATGACACGGGGCTGTCCTCTTCGACGGGAAAGGCACACCCCTCCAGCCGGCACTGCACGTGTTGGGAGGGTTGAAGAACGCCTTGAGGTGCACGCACTTCGAGCTGCATGTGTAAGCAGCGGCACAGAAATTGGCCTGATGTGGTAAAGCTGTAAAGCTATGACTTTGGCTGCCGTGCGGCCCAAGCGCGCATCGCGGCTGCATACCGCAAGCGAAGCTCGTTCAGGGAGTCGTCCGGCAAGGACCAGAAGTAGCCCCGCAGCATGTTCATGAAGAGGCAGTTGATGCGTCCAGGCCTTTGCAAAATGGATCCAGATACAAGGTTGCAGCAGCAGCAGCAGCAGCAGTATCAGCAGCTTTCAACTTGCAATAGCCACGTTTTTGTTGTCAATAAGCAGAAGAACCTATGCTGAAATTCCAATTCATTCGCACATACCATGAATTACCGTGATGGGATGGAATGATGGAATGCTGCCATGAGACTCTTATCTGACGGAAACTGTTATTCTGCACTCACCTTGGGATCCAGCATGCTAAGGCCGTCAGCTGGAGCTGCAGGGGCAGAGCCTCAGCATACATATCAGTTAATGTACATTGAAACCACTCCTTCCAAGGAGGACTAGAAGAAGAACGACGCTGCCACAACTCTGACAGCTCCGCCTTCTTCTCTTGCACACTTTGCTGGAAGACAACTGCTCACTGCTCCTCCCCCTACGTCCTCCTCGCCTACTGCTCACCTACTACTATAAAACCTATAAGGCCATGTATATGGGTACTTGAGGCAGGAGGCGGCAGCGATCGCTGGCCTCAAAGAGGTGCTCGAAAAGATCGAAGCCCTGGGGTCCATACTGGAAGTGGCCTCTCCAGCAAAGACCAACTAAGCAAATCTAAGCAAACATTCAAGAAATCGGTCATGTTCTTTCCTCATGCGGGCAGGACGTGGATCTGTTTGATGATGGAAATCCGTATCCGAATTCTGGCTTGCTACCTTCTTTTTGCGAGTCAGCTCCAGACCCACTCCCCTCGGCCAACATAGGAAGACTAGCCAACCAGGCCACTGATGCTGTTGCTTTTGAAAATTCCATCGGCCCTGTGACCCCAAACACTCAGAGCTGCGCTACCAAGCAAAAGATGTGGAAGCTTTGGCTAGGATTAAGGCCTCAAGCCACTGAATTACTCAGGTGGATGCTCAACAGATGCATTTCCCGTAAGCAGGTCCCAATCTCCCTTCGGCCTGCCTTCAGCTCCCTTCCGCTTCCAGTCCACCAAGACCGGCAGTCCTCGCCACAGTCAGATGCATGCCTTGCCCAACTCTCTCAAGAAGGCTGCTCTGCTAGAGATGATCATGGTAGACACTGACCTGCCTGGCTTTGTCAAAAGAAGAGCATCGCACACCTGCGCTCAACAACGCATCATAGCCAAACTTACAATTAAAGATGCATTTGCATTCGCCGCCAGGCAAGCTCCGGTTCAGGGCGGCCTGGAGGACGTTGGCAAAAAGGCCATTGTCGTGGTAGGGTGTGAGCACCGCAGAATAATCTGTGCTTTGCAGAGTCAACAGCTTCTTTACCTTGCAAGGACAGCTGTAGGCAAACATTGGACAGTCCCATTGACAGTTGACGCGTCGCTTTCCTCGCCCAAGCACCATAGACAAGGAGGTCTTGCAGGCGTATGAGCTCAGAGAGGGTCGGCCGGCTGCCCCTAGGCTTTGGCAATCTACAACATTCTACAACTACGCTTTGCCTGACCCTGAAGCCCCGCGCAACGGATGTGCAGCCGGGTTGCGACAAGCCAGAAGCGCATGTCGGGCGCCTGGACAAGCTTTCCCAAACCCTCGCTGACAGATGCACAGCTGCCTCTTGTACTGAAACCAAGTGTGCTTGTCATTGTTGCGAACCATCCTGCTCTACCGCGGTGACTTGGTTGCCAAGATGTGACAGGCCGCTCTTCTTTGTAAGCGAACTCGGGAATGACGAGCAGGCATCTCTTCGCCCGGTCACGTCCTCAGGACATGGTGCCCTGAGACAAGCCGATCTTTTTCGAAGCACGCTTTGGTGCCATCGAAATGTCCCTGTCTGATAGAAAAATCGAGGGACGTGCCACACAACCATGATCTACCGCACATTGCGGAGCTACCGTAAACAAAATGAGGCTGTGGATGCACGGCCGAAACAAGCCCTGCCTTCAGACGGTGCGAACCATTTAGCTGTCACCGCCATCGGACCGATGCATTTCAAACTTCGCATCGGAAATCAGGCACGTCCCTCAATTGTAAAGCCTGTATGATGCTTCGTTGAAGCATCGCTTGCCTGAAAGTTGTCACAAGCCCAGCCTGTGTCACGCTACCACTACGTGCACGGGTAAGACCCCTCGAGAGTGCCGGTTGAGACTGTGAAGGGCTGCCTGGGCTGTGGCTAGATGACTGTAGAGTTAAAAAGCTCATATAGGATTACTTTGGTTAGATAAGGTTAATAGAAAAGAACATGGAAACCACAATGTACTATTGGATTTAGGGAGGCGGCTGGCCTTCAATACTTCCATCTTTCAATACAGGGCATCCAAAAGATCTAGACCTAAAACATTGGCATTTACAACGGGGTTAATATGGATTGCTATGAAGAATTCCATAGTCGCTAGTTGATGGTAACTCTAGACCCTAAACCCTTAAACCCTAAAACCCTTAACCCTACACCCTAAAACCCGAAAACCTTAAACCCTAAAACCCTAAACCCTGACACCCTGAAACCTTAAACCCTAACACCCTAAAGCCCTAAACCCCAAACCATTGAAGCTAAGCAGCTGCGAAGCTTGCCAGCTTGCTCCAGGCGGCGCCGGAAGAGGAACCTCGGCTGCTGCTGAAAGACTTAAGCTGACTTACCATAATGGGCTCCCTTTAGAAGGGGTATAGGGGTTACATATAATATCCGCCGACCCCTGGGGGCTGCGCGCGTGAAGCTATACATATATATATATATATATGTACTTATATATATATATACATACATATATATATATACATATACATAGAGTTTAGGCTAGTGGCAGGGATTGAATTACAATGATATGGCATACTAAGTATGTATTGGTAACTCTGCTTGAGTGCCTTAACACCAACCCAAGAACGCCAGCATCGCTCGCTCGATGCGGTGCGCCGCCTCCTCCTGCTTCAGCCGCAAAAAGATCAGTGCACCTTTTTGGGTATCTATTAGGTGGACCCCCCACCCAGTAATAGTGACTATAGGGGATAATAGGGATCATATTAGGGTCCTCTTATATTCCTATTATACCACCATTACAGGGTGGGGGGTCCTCCTAAGGTATCTGCTTAAGACGGAAATATAGAGAGATCATATGAGGATATACATACAACTACATATGTACGAGACGCCGTATCAGGGTCATATGATGAGTCATGTCCGATAGCTTTCGTCCCGCATGCTTAGAAAACCTGCTCCAAAATCCCAGGCAGCCAGGGCACTGGTCTTCATAAAATCGATGAAGTCACCCAAAACATAGCAGGCCGCACCCAGGATGAAGCACCAGGCACCCAGGATCTCCATGCCTTCTTTGCAGCCCTGATTGGGCATGAAGCACACAGAGCCCATAACAAACAGGATGCCTCCCAACTCATAGATCCCACAGGTTGCCACCGCCCAGTGGATGAACGTGCGGCCAGAGGCATTCAGCGTTAACGCGTTCAAGAAAGTGGCAAACACAAAGATGATGGAGCCGATGATGAACATCCAGATAGCTGCGAAGAGGACGTCCTCCTCCGCCAAGACTTCGGAGGGAATCCGGTGGCTGATCATCTGGGGATGCTGGAAATAAAAGGTTCCGACCAAGAAGATCAGGCCGCCAGCTAGGTACAACAGCTTTTCGGACCTGGGTCCCACCATCACATGGAAGTCGGCATCCGTATCTTTCACAGCCTCGGCATCACTCCCCAGGTACTCGTAGGTGGCGATGGCGGAGTTCGTGCGCAAGGAGGAGTTGTTGGAATGCTTCAGGCCTGTCAGTTGGATGACATGTCAGAAGCAGGCTGCATGAAGCATGAGAACAAAAAGGAAACCGGCACTGCTCAACCCCAAACTTCCAACAGTTTGTGCTACCAAGGCACCACAGATGAGCATGTCTTCAAAGATGTCCATGCCAGAGATGAAGGCCAGCAGCGCACTGCCTATGATGAAAAGGTTGCAGCCCAAATCTACAGCCCACTTCTGTACGATCGCAGTCTCCACGAGGCGTGGCCTACTCACAACATTCACCTGAATATCACCAGGCTCTTCTTCATGCGTGGCGAGTCGATCAATGCCAATGGCCGTCAGGCTGCCGTTCAAAGCATCCTTGATGCTCTGAACAGGTGGCAAGGAACGTTCCAGCGCACTAGCCGTATAGCCGTCACGCGGGTAAATATTCACATCAAAGAGCATTGCATCATCCAAGCTACATGAGGTAGTCTTCCTCCACTGTACGTGCGAATGATGAGGCTTGATTCGACTGCTTTTGTCAGAGGCTAGAAATCCAGTGAAGTTCCTCTCCAACTGCTGGAACAGAGAAATGTTTGATCGCATGACTTCGTCGACATCAACTCCCTCCACCACAAAGGTGAAGGAGACTGTCAACTCTCTGTCCTTTATCGGCAGGAACAGAAATGATCCCACAAGGAACAGCACATTTGAGGTCAAGCTCAGCAGGACATAATACAGAGGGAAAGCAATTCTCCAGAAGGAGTTCTTGGCAAGATTTGGCTTACCCTTCCTCTTGCCAGCACAATGTTGCAGCAAGATCGGCACCACCGACTCTCGGGGACGCTCTGAGACTAAATGTACCATGGGCAGCTGAGAACATTGCCCGCTGGCAAAGACTCTGAGAAAACCAAAAGGCTGCGGCGAATCGTGTCATCAGCATGGCATTAGCCCCAGAAACATGCTTAGGTATTATCTTGCATAACTAGCCGGATGGTGTGCTGTGTGCCCAAGATGTAGACGTACAACCAATAACCCCTGAAAGCCTAAACCCACAGTGTGGGTCTATGTGGTGACATGAAACGGAAGCTTGCCTTGTCGCAGAATGTCACACATCCCGCCCCAATGCTGGCCTTTCAGAACACTCGCTGCTGGGTCTTCTGGACGCACACCACGGAGGAACTCCCTCAAGGTGTCCAGCATCATCCGCACCTCCCCGTTGGGATCCTCTCTTGGCAAGGCGGCACAGAGTGTTTTCAAAAGGAAATAGGCGCAAACCTCCGAATGTACTACATGATGCAAAGGCTGATGCCAAGACAGCATAGCATGAAGTGTGAAGCAAGACTCCAAGATGTCCTTGTTGACATCAGGCAATGCTGCTGCGAAAAGAGGCATAAGGTCCTGCACAATGTGGCAGCCCATGAATACACATCGGTCATGAACATAAAAGCATGGCAGGACAAGCTCATCATGGACTAAATGGGATAGCTCATAAATGCTTTTGCAATAATTGAGAGTCCCTGCATCTTCGCATGTACTTCTTGCAAGATGAGACCGGTTCTGTGCCAGGGTCCGTTGAGAACTAGCAGCGGCATCAGCAGCATCAGTGGCAGCCGTTGTGCTAATGGCGGGGACATTGTTTCTTGCGATTCTCCTGCTGTTGCCACCCCGAAGACAACGTTATCACAAACGACTCTACTCTGCTTGGGCTGTGTGCGGCAGCAGCTATCTCGACGATGAGGACGACTTTCACTACGTACTACCACCACGGCTAAAACAGAAGCCGCCACGGCTACCAGCGACTACTTCGGCTCAACGGCTATGGGCATCTTGACTGCTGCCTTTGCAACTGTGATTATGCAGTGGCAGCGGTTAATCTAACAAGGTCTTCTCTGATGTCGGCTACTACATTCTTCACAGTCACGCGCACCTATGTAAACCCAGCTTCCATGTGATTTTCCATGCTCCTTTCGTTTATTTCTCCATTTACGGCTGTATACCCGAAACATCCCGAAAGCCTAAACATTAGTTTCCATTTTGTTTTCAACTATCCCTAAACAATCCCTATTACATGGCAATATAACCCCACGTAATCCCTAGATGATTCGATTAATAAGCCGAATCTAATCCACGTATAATCCGCATGTACGCCAGCTCGTGCTGGCACTTGAGAGGTACCCTGTACCCCAGGGTGTCCTCAAAGCCTTCGATGCCACCCGCTGCAAGCCTCAAAAGCTCATGTGGCAATTTGTGTAGTCCCCTGAACCCTAAATATACAATATTAGCACTAGTACAAGCGATTATCGTAGTCGTAGTAGTAACAATGGGAGAGAAGCACCCGCTTTGAGTCCTTTAGCTTAAGGCTATCCTAGGAAAAGAAAAAATTCTTTTTAGCCTGAACTGTCTTGAGCTTTGCGCACTGACCCAAACAGCAACAAGCTTACACGCACATCGAGAAACTTAAGCATGAACACAGACGCAATAGACATACGCATGTTGCAGCACACACGCACACACATGCTGACCCTACGCAAACACGCAGCACACTTTTTCTCGTGACAATGGGAGTCACACTGTGCTCACACGCAACCGTGTAAGTTGCATCTTTCAAGACCAATTTTTTTTCGGGGTGAATAAGCCCAACAGTTTCCCACAGGTAGGGCGTTGCAGCCGCCATGCGGTCCCTTGCCTGTGGGAAACACCGACACCCCCCTGCACTTTGGCAGGAGGGACTTCGCAAGCGCAAGTCATAGTAGTGGACTCCGCCTACCCGGGCTGGGCAGGCGGGCCAAAAGATTTTTGCTCTGGCTTGAGCTTTAGCTACGCAGCGCAAAAGATTCACGCAAGCGCTGAAGTCACCGACGGCGTATCCAAAATGTGGTAAGAAGTGCACTCAAGAACGGGCGCATGTAACCTTATTTCAAGGGAACCACAAAATGCAACTACAAACCAGAGCGCGTGACTCTGACAGCCCATCCAGAAACAAACCAAGAAGTTAGCTCAAGAACCGTTCCCATGTAACCTCATTCCAGGCGAATAAGAAGACACCATCTCGGGCCGAGACTGCATGTTTCTTTTTTTCCTGAACTGTCTTGAGCTTTGCGCACTGACCCAAACAGCAACAAGCTTACACGCACATCGAGAAACTTAAGCATGAACACAGACGCAATAGACATACGCATGTTGCAGCACACACGCACACACATGCTGACCCTACGCAAACACGCAGCACACTTTTTCTCGTGACAATGGGAGTCACACTGTGCTCACACGCAACCGTGTAAGTTGCATCTTTCAAGACCAATTTTTTTTCGGGGTGAATAAGCCCAACAGTTTCCCACAGGTAGGGCGTTGCAGCCGCCATGCGGTCCCTTGCCTGTGAGAAACACCGACACCCCTACTTAGCCGCACCAAAAGTCTGATGTCATCATAAAAATCAGACCAGGGTAGTAAGAGGTGGTGGACCCCTAAAAACCATACTGAAATCGCCACACGCAGGAAAGCAAAAACAGTCATTGCCGAACCAAACGGTAAGGCACTCATTCTGAAGATCAAAGGCTTGCCGCCACTGGGGTCTGCACAGGCAACATAACTGCACCATGACGAGTCAGGATGTATTGCTAATTGCCTATGAGCAGAAGACAAGTCAAACGCTTTGCCAAAGAATTTCTTCCCCTTACACAAACGCATCAAGTTTTGGCCAATGCCCGCAATAACGTCTGTCGACATTGGCTGAGGTGATTCGTAAGCTTGCACGGCTTTGTTTACGTAAGAAGATGTCAGGTTATTGATCATTCGCACTTTCTTCCCTTGCAGCAATCCGAACCTTCGGCTAAGAATGGCATGACTTTCCTACGCCGACTCTGGTAGCGGCCCGGACAACCATCCGGAATCACGCTCAAGCAACGTCTTCTCAAGCACAGTCGCATCAATCTCACCTTGGGGACGGATTGCCCTTAGCACGCTCCGCCTGATTTCACACGCATTCTTTTTGGCCCACTCATCAGTCACGCCCATAGGCCTGAGTTTGGCTTTGAACATTCCAGAAATCGGCGCACGTCCCGTGAGGGGAACACCCTGCTTGAAAAGGTCCGCAACGCTGATGTCATTGTATCCCGCACTACGCATCATGGCTTCCCAAAGCAGGATTCTCTTTGGCTCTACAATACTTCGGACCTGGGGATGTAGGGTTTTTTTCAGATCCCTCTCATTATCCTCCAGACTCGTAGCTAAAGACAGCCATTCCTTGAGCTTCCTTGCCCTGGCTTCACACACTTCAGCGTCTGTCATTTTGGCAAGCTGCTCAAGAACCCCGCCTAAGGGATCGGGCACAACCGAAGGCAGGGAGCGGGGGTGGCCTATCCTAGCAGCTTCGGCAACAAACTCGGTCTCCTCCCATGGGACACCCCACGCTATCTCAAATAAAGAAGAGTTTTCCCCCTTATTGGCCGCAAGAGGTGTGTATCGCAAAAGCTGGCTTTTGGCAGGGATCTGCCGAACCGGGCATCGGGCAAAGTGAGGCACCGGCCAAGGCCGATCCAGACGAGTCATATTTGCGCAAGGCGGTGACATGGGGCGCTCAGCACACACGACGAGGACTTCACGATGTTCTGGCACCAAGGGCGGAATCCGCGAGGCTTTAGGCTGGATGCCTGCAATGGCACGCGTCATGAGCATCTCATGGGTGCGGTCATTCGCTTGAAGCGACACCGCAGGTGTCGTCCAGCCTGCAGACGGCAACACTCTTGCAACGCAGAGGGCTATGCTCATAGCAAGGCGCGGGGGGTATGGCGTCTCTTCACTGGTGGCAAAGCCAGTGGCTCCACTGCTAGACACACCCCATGGAAGATGATTTTTTGGGAACACTCAACCCCTGGACAGAATCGAGCACGGCTGTCGAAACCCTCACAAGTAACAGCAAAAGCTGTTTTCTTGGGGCGCCGTGATCCGAAGGCGCACGCCTCACACGCTACAAACCGGAAAAATTTCGAATCCTTTGGAAAAAGGATGTGATCCAATATATGGAATTCCTTGGGTTTTCTTTAATACAAATGACACCGCGGCTCACGGCTTCTTCGACAACAGCTGAAAGGAAGTCGTAAACAGCATTGGCCGTGCTGACCCTCAATGCATCGGATGCGCTAAGGCCAGGAAGCCCATCAGGATACATCTCATCTCTGAGGGGCGGCGGCCAATTATCTAGTTCACGAGCTCGGGAACATGTGCCGCACATGGGCGCAGCAAAGATGGCCGCTAGTCTGGGCGACCGCAGCCACTCCCAGCAAAGGCGTTGGCCCTCACACGTGGAGAGGTCAGCTTGCAGACACGTCAAAACTGCCTTGGAACAATCCACATCCACCCCGGCTGCTGAGGCCAGGCCAAGTTGCTTGAGGCAAGCTGTAACCCTGGCAGCGCCGGCGAAAAGTTCAATGACCAACGGGTCAGCAGCAGCCTGCACAGTCAGTCGCGGGGAGTTCGGGCCTAAACCAGTAGGGGATTCAACACTAGTAGGGTTAACCGACTTAGTCAGGCGGGCCAGTGTATCAGGTACACAGTCACGTATTTCAGGCACTTGGAAGCTACCCTGGAGCAGGTTTGCTTTCTCGGTTGGTGTCGAGTCAGCCACCGGCTGAGGCTTACACCCAACCTCTGCGGCTGGCTTCACGAGGGGGCCGGCAGGCAACATCCCCCCGTCCGCTGTTGATACTTGAATGTCAGCTTTGCAACGCGTACCTGACCCGAATTCTACTGCAGGATTCTGAATTACGCAACACGGCACTTCGGCAGTGGCTGCATTTGGAGGAGCGCACAACGACACGGCACTTGCAAAATCACAGCGCGCACCCACAACAGTAGCAGAAACACCGTTACACGGATTAAGGCAGGACTGGTCTTGGACCATGGAGCTTGATTCACCATCAGGCAGGGACGGTCACGATTTCTTGCGCAAGGGGCAATCTTGGACTCCATGCCCCTCAGCGAAGCACAGTGCACACACATGGAGCCCTTTAGGGCAAGGATTTGCATTGCATCCACACGGCAAGTTGCGATCGAAACAGATGCGCTTCTTGTCGGGGGTGGTAGCCGAGCCACCCAGCACACGAATGCCATGCGGCACCCAGCCGCTGGGTTTCTCTTTACCTTTACCGTTGCCTTTGCCTTTGCCCTTGCCGCCCTTGGCGGTTCGCCAATCGTTGGCACCACCTTCATACTTTGTCACCTTGGCTGCAGGGTCACCCTTACCCTCATGGGGGCGTTTGCGCTTTTGCTCTGGCTTGAGCTTTAGCTACGCAGCGCAAAAGATTCACGCAAGCGCTGAAGTCACTGACGGCGTATCCAAAATGTGGTAAGAAGTGCACTCAAGAACGGGCGCATGTAACCTTATTTCAAGGGAACCACAAAATGCAACTACAAACCAGAGCGCGTGACTCTGACAGCCCATCCAGAAACAAACCAAGAAGTTAGCTCAAGAACCGTTCCCATGTAACCTCATTCCAGGCGAATAAGAAGACACTATCTCGGGGCGAGACTGCATGTACGTCCAAGCAAAATGTTGTCGGGGGCTGCTGCTGTTGCTGATGAAGTTGGCTGCCCTGCATTGGATCTGGATACTAAGCCTGGTGACTTCTACAGATAAATGAGCAGCAAAGCAGAAGACCTGAAGAGACATCTGTGGGCAAGACCCTTACAGCCATGCATCAACATCACAACCCAACAGGCCAGGCCCATTCAACTCATGAAATCGGTTGATTTGAGTATCTGTGAGTGAAGTTAGGCTCGGACGCTCCACCGTAGGATGGCATTGTACAGGTTGTCTCTCGGAGTCCAGACCTCGCATAACAGGGTCCAGTGGCCCTATGGCAATCCCTCTTGTGGCATCTTGTGGCAGTCGTATAACTTATGGCACTTGCCCTGAAAGACCTTTGCAACTTGCCATGCTTGGAAAGTCTAAAGGTCAGGCTGGAGATGTTGGGAGTCCCCTACCAGACTGACAAGAACCCCAAAAATCACAGGATCACCGGCAGCAGTTTCATTACAAGCCCCTCCTTGCACCTGCAGAGATTCAGCGACGCCACTGGCGCTTGCGGCAGCGCATGGTTTAGCTCACTAGATACAAGCTACACTCCAGCGTGTTGTGGGTGGATACATGGCTTTCGACGGATAGTTCGGAAGTCTTGAAGGTGAGGCGATCATGGCACGAAAGGTTCGCATACTCATCATACTCGTCCCCTTTGCTGTCTCACTCTTCGCCATCGGCAGCTATTTGTACTAAAGCTTGGGCAGTCACGCAATGCGTGTCAAGGCCATTCTGGGCAACTTGCACAAATCAGAGATGCGGAAGTCTGAAGTTCTCAACATGTTTTGGCCTCATCTCCAACGTCTTTTAAGGAGCCCACCGTGCTGAGGTCGACTCGCTCTGGCCACGAAGACAGCGGAGATAAAACAGTCGCGGAGAGCTTCACTGCACGGCATCATCAGCCTAGTTCTGGGCTTTTGGCAGGCAGCACCGACGCCTGTCGCTCTCTTCAGACTCACAGCTACGGCAACATCGGCATACCGTTAGCTAGGTTTGCCTTCTCACAATGGCCAGGCTGTTGTTCAGCCTTTTCTGGGCCAAAGTGCTCATCCAGGACACGGTCGACTAGAGGCCTTTGCTGGTCCAACTTCTAATGACACGCGTCCACAAAACGTGGCAAGTCAAACGAGACAATGACACAGCAGCTGCAGCACTAGGAGAAGCACCCAACGGTGTGCCATGGGATCTCCTGGCAGACTGGCCAAGTCATCGGGTCCTTTGCGTTTTGGCTTCGCGGAGCATGCAGAGGCGCTGTTCAGAGGCAAGCACTCCCACCTCAGCAGACTCTTCATCGAGGGACTGCGCGATCTTCTCCCACTTGCTGTAGTCATGGGGCCTCCAAGTCACTTCAGACCAGCCGTCCCCGTGAAGCTGACGCAAGGTCCGGGCATTTCATGTAAAAAGGCTCATGCTCCCCAAACGGCTGTTTGAACAGGGTATAGCAGGGTCTGGCAAGAGTACTTGGTCACAATGCACATGTGTTGCTGGCTTTCCGCCAAACCATTTTGCCGTAAAAGAAGCTGTAAGCCACAATGGTGCGGCGCACAGGCTCGATTTCGCATCAAACTGCTACGGTTCCGACAAAACGTCATTGATGCAGAAGTCTGGTGGCGTCAGCTTTGGCACCTGTAGATGTTATGTCCGTTTTGCACCATGCCCAATGACGAACTGTACACCTGTTTCGGCAAGGTCCAAGCCAGCGGCTAGAGCAAGGCAAGCTGCGACTCACTGAGTTCAGTCAGCGAGTGGTGCTTCTGTGATCTACTTGCCAATGTGCCCGAGCTGGAGCCAGCTTCGTGGGGCGAGTGATTAAATGTTCGGCCCTTCATGAAACCCTGTCTCCGTGCCTCCAGCACCTCAGGTGCTGCTCGCTCTCGCGGCACCATCGCTACAGTCACCGACAGGCGGGCCAAGTTCACAGTTTGTGGTACAGCATCGACTTGGCCGATGTGGCCGTTGCCCACACGGCCGCCGTGAATCGTGCGCGAGTCCCAAAGGACCAGATCTCCGGGCTCGGCATGTAAGAGCATGGCATCTTCATACCGGCGGAACAGGGGACACCAGTCTCCACAACTTCGCAGATGAGGGAAGTCTTGGCAAAGCTGCGCCTTTGCCTCTGCAGTGTGACTGCGAGGGACCACTTCTAAGCCCCCAGTGGCAGCAGTCACGTGCATCAGTGGGACCATGCCCTGAACCGTTTCAAGGTCCGGTTTGCTAAAGGGGTTCTGGTCCAGGTGCAAGCCCTCGGTACAGGGCAACCAGGTGGCATCCAGCCACCACGGCCGCCAAATGATGAGGGCATCCATGGAAACAATCAGCTCAGATGATTGCCAAATCTCTGCGAATGCGTTCTTTATCCCAGGGCAAGCTCTTACATACCAGGCTCCAGGATCCTGTGTGATCATTGTGTTGAGGCCTGTTTTACTCAGTGGCCACTTCTTCCAGGATTCCGGGCTCTCGCGCGATATGCCGTAGGCAGCCTCCAAATCTGTCCACAAGAGGTCTTTTCCCACATCGACCTCTTCAGGAGAGAGCACCCCAGCCAAGACCACGAAGCCTTCCTCATGGAGGTGCTGCTGCCAGCGCGCGTCTTCGGCAGGAAACCGATACAACGCATCCATGGCTGTGACGGCCCCTGCAATAGCTGGAGGCTACTACAATGTGCTGAACTATTGGCCAAAATATTTACGCAAGATGTCATGAGGGACCGATTCTCTTTTCAGGTTACAACCTGTGAGCCTGGGGCTTGCTTTGCCTCTCTCATCTTATGCTATTGCGCCAAATACGCTGCGACGCAACAACAACCTGGAAGCTCAACTCTGCACGACACCACTCATGACTCTGAGCATGCAGAACTCCAAGACACGAGCTGAGAACTCGCAACTCACACTGTTTTTTTGACAAGCCTGATTGAGTGGGCAGCAAGGCTTCTGCAGGTTATCAATGACCCTTGCGGCGCATGGCTGCGACGGCCTCCATCATGTCGTCGCGCTTCTTCTTGCCGCGACGGTGGGTGCCCAACCTCTTCTTGGCCAGCTTCAGCGCACGCTTGAACGTGGCAGCGGAGCCAATCTTCAGCAGCTCGATCATGCGGCGCTCATAGGGCGCGAAGCCCACAACCTCGCGGACCACCTCGCGGACGAGGGCCACACGTCCGCACTTCTTGCCCTTGCGGTAGGAAGGCTTTGGCTTCAGCTGCCTTCGGGTCACGATGAAGCCCTTGTTTAGGCCGGCAGCAAGGCCGGTGGCCGCCGGCTTCTCGTATCCAGGCTTGGCCATGCCTTGCTCGCAGATGTAACGAGAGCAGGCTGCGAGGATTCCCTGAGAGCCACAGGTGCAGCCACGAGAGGTCAAGCGCTGCATGCAAGCTTCCCAAACGAGCAGGCTGAGAGTCTTCAATGCTGGTTGCTGGCTTTTTATGTCAGGTCGGGCATGCTGTACAAACTTTCCGCGAGGTGCAAGAGGTACTATATAAATCAAAGCGCTCTGCACCTCAAGGGCTGCCTGACCTGTCTCAGATGCCAGCACACACAGCTCACCACAACTTACCACTGCTCAATAAAGTTGACACCAGTCCTGCCTCCATCTTCTTATCACTTCTTTTTTGACTCGGCTTTAGCTTTTGCTTCGGCCTCAGTGGCATAAGCACAGCGGCACAGCACGTTTCATGCGCGCTTCTCGAGCAGCCTTCTTCTCCGCAGCGGATTCCACGTCCACCTGGCTTAGGGGCAGCTTGTCTTCCTATCACGCGACGGCGGCTTGGGCGTAAACGGTTTTGGGATCAAGGGCTTATGGTGGGACTGACACCAAGACTTTTGAAAGGAAATACAAAGCGTGCATCTGTGCCTTCTTCACCTCCAGGATGCTGAAAAGTAACGATGTAGCCTTGACCTGAACCGGAAGGTCAAAGGCCTTTCACTGTCCATTTTTTAGCACGGTGCTCACCTCCTTGCCCTCCACCAAGTTGGTGAAGTCGTCTCGCAGCTCAGAAATCGGCCTGCCACATGCCAGAGAAAGAACAGCCTCCTGGACCTTCTCATGGCTGGCATAAGCAACAGTGGAGAACATCTTCGGCCACCTGGGAGGCTGGCCCACCTTGGCAAAGATGGCCTGGCATCAAGCTCCGGGCATCTCTGTTGCGAGGTGGCATCTCAAAAGTGCTGCTCATACTTTTTAGTCAGCCGTCAGCCTCTGCAGCTATTGGGATGAAGGGGGCAAAGAAGTGGGCCAACGCGTAGACCGCCTCTCAAGGTCCAGGATGCACCAGCGAATGCGCAGTTGAAAGTTCTTCCGGATTTTGATCACCGCAGGCAGGGTCTTCCCTATAATGGGGTTAATATAGGGATGATAATAGGGTATAGAAAAGAAAATGGAAACTACAGGGATTATAGGGATTATGTTGGGGTTATATAGGGTTTATATAGGGGCTATATTGGGATAATGGAAAAGAAAATGGAAATCTACTATAATGGGTTCATATACCCACACTCCCCGGCTCTTGGGCCTCCAGCAGCTTTCGGAGACAGGCGCTCCGAAGCGCTTGTTGCTCCGCTGCCTGAAGCCGGGCGCTCCGGGCGCTTTGGGGTTCTTGCTAGGGTTTAGGGTTTAGGGTTTAGGGTTTAGGTGGAGGTTACAAAAATTCAGTGTAGGACCTGTCATTGGCCTAAGGTCGACGGCTGACGTCTGGGGATTATGCCGAACAATTCGAAGCTGTGCATACTCATGTTCACACAGAAGCACATCTATAGGGGATTATACTCGGGAGTCTTATAGGGGTTATTAAGGGGGATACTAGGACTGTAGACTATAGACCGTAGCTCATTTAGTGTAGGTTTTGCAGCCTAACCGTAAAAAGGACCAAAACAAGGCAAACGAAATCCAGCCCTAATAATCCAAAATCACCCCGCTTGACCCATCCGGAATCCAGTCTCCGGCAGTCATAGCCCCTGTAGCCGAACTCTTCTATGAATGATGCCTGCGCTTGCTTATAATTCCAACCAAATGATAGCACGATAAATTAAATGCTACCATCTCTGGATGGGACTGTCATGATATGTAGTGATCACATTGCCTTGTGGTCGTCTTGCTTATCATGCCCGCAAAGATTTAGGGTTCGCAACAGCTTTCTAAATAGAACAACAGCTTTTAAAGCAAAAGACGAAAACCACTCAAAGAAGCCTGCAGAAATGACTCTGGCCGGCCTTCATCTTCCACGGCTCGAGGTCAGCAATCCACTGGCGACACATGCGCTAGCTCAGGTATTTTCACGGCAAAGCTCGCGGCTTCCAAATGTTGCTAGCAAACTCTCACTTAAGAGGGGTAGGGCAGTGGGGGGTCCCCAAAAAATGTACCCGGGCTCATTTCCTGCAACACACATGTGCAGGGGGTGTTGGGCCACTCTCAGAGATCCGCAGTCGTTTGGTACAGCGTATGAAAATGCTATACCATACCGCACTAGGTCCCAACAAGTCATGCTGCGGGGCTCCTTTGATGACCATACCCCGCACTCACAGAAATAGACCTGGGAGTGTGAGAAAAGAGCAGGGCGGAGAGTGAGTCCCCTCAGCAGGGCGTATTATTGAGGGGGGGTGCTAGTACCCACGTTGGACAGCATTAGACAGTATTGCCAAGCGTCCCTTCCCAAGATGACAACAGCAAAGCAATACTTAGGTTGTGGCTGTAGTCAAGCTTTGAACCTCCTTACCCTTGCTCAACGTGCATTATTCAGGCCTTGCCTTGTTTGTGTCCCCGGCCGCTTTGATGGTCAGAGCTGCTGCATCAGACAGTCGGTAGGCTTCGAATGCCTCCGCATGCAGCGCGGGGGATAGCACACTTGCGAAAGGGACCACTCCGAAAATCTAGCAATCTAGAAAGCAAAGCTGAGATTGGGAAATACATACTTCGGAAAATTTAGTATAAATCGAGGACCCAGGATGGACGGTGCCTCTGAGACTGAAGCTTTCAGCTCCTTGAGATCGAAGGGAAGAGACACGTCAACGCTACAAGAGGGTACCTGCAGGGCCGGAACGGCAGTAACAGCTATATGCCACACCCGAAGAAACATGTCAGGACCGCGGAGCCGTTGCTGAGATTCACCGCTCTGTTCACCAGGTTTCCCAAGTTATCACCTTTTTTGAAGCACCAAGGACAACGGCCCACAGAGTCTCAACCAAGAACATGACAGAGCTCTGCGTTGTGCATCAGCCGGAGGGAATCCTGACAGCCGGGTGCCAAACCCAATGCGATGCCCAGGCCCGCCCAGATGCAAGCTTAAATGGCAAAGCAGATCCATGCTCACCCTACTCGTAGTCTGCCATCTGTCCTCGCTGAACCTGACGTCATCCCCAAAAGCCGCCTGCAATCAGAGTGTCGCTTGCAAAAACAGTCGAGACTGAGCATCCATGCAGAAGCCTCACGGCAGAAGTACCACCGCAGGGTGTCACAAGGAAACTTGTCAAGCCTTGCAGGCAGAAAATGTCAGAAAAAGTATTCAAGCTGTGCTGAGGGCTTGACATATCGTGAGGGTCCACGACGTTACCCAGGCTTTTAGACCTGAGTCAGGCAGACCGGGCTGTTCACACTGCAGCGTCATCATGTCATGGCAGCCGAACAGTGTGAAAAAGCGTTCCACACTTCATGCCGAGTTCGGCGACATTTTTCGGCCGTCGGCCCCGGCAATGAAGCCATGCACCACCACGCTCTTGGGCAACGCAATTCCTCAAGCTGGTGTCAATAGCGCCAGAAAGTTGTGTCAACGCTAAAGTATCCCGCCTGCACTCATCAGCATGGCAGGCCAAATGACCGTGTGGAACCAATGGATGTCCTCTGCCATGACCAGCAATCAGGCAAAGCAATGGTCACGCTGAAGCCTACACACAGCTCTACGCTCCTTGCCGACTATGTGCATTTGGGCAGGCCAGAATCTGCTGAGTGGCTTCTTGGGCTCGATGCCATCCTAAGTCCAGGTAAAAGCGGGAAGAGTCAGCAAGACAAGTGCTCTGTGGCAACAAGCACTGCGAACTACCAGGCCACTGGGCCAGTCGCCACACCACTGAGGTAGTTGATGAGAGCGTCAAACCACACGTACATGACCTGAACCGTGAGGTGCAAAGCACAAGACATCCCGTTCCGCGAAGGAATCAATTTGTTACGCAGATTAGCAGACTAAAAAACCCTTGCTGATAGGACAAGTCGGAACCTGCATTGCAAGCCTTCATTCGGCAATGCATTTCATAGATTCGCTCAATGCACTCGCGGAGACCGGGTTGATTTGTCTCCCTCAATTGCGTTCGCGACGGGCAAAGCTGGCTGGTCAAATGTCTGAGCTCGTTTACGATCAAGAAACCTGTGTGCAAAGCCGTCGCTTGCATTCAGTCACTCCGGCTCTCAACCGCTCTCTCTTCGGCTGCGCACTCCTCATCCACAGCAGTCACCCCCTGTCATGACGTCGTATGTCCATTGAGGTTGCTCTACCTTTTAAGTCGGATTTTCCCTGCTCTATTCTGCTTGAAAAACCTTGTCCCAGCGATTGATGCTCAAGCTGGCTGTTTGTTGCCGAACGTGGAAAAGACAAAGTGCGGGATGTATAGAGGCTACTAAAAGGAGCCGTTTCTCCTTTGCTTACTAACAACCAGTAAGTACAGGCAAACTCCTGAATTGCGCTTGCCAGTTGCTTTGCCAAGCTAGCCAGAATCCGTCTTCGAAATCACAAGTGGGCGTTCTGATCCGGCTTACTGAACTTGACACGTTGCATTCTGAATCAGCTTTCCCTTGGCAACACCTCTAGACGAAAAGCATCCAGTCCAGTTAAAAAGCATCATTGCTCACCCCATCATTCCCGATAACACTTCAGCAAGCCCCGACTGCTGAAAGATATCGATTTTATGCCCCACCTTTGAGCAAGACATGAAGCTTGCTCTGGATGGCATTCTACGTGAATTAAACGCGCAGCTGCAGGAAATCTCAGTATTCAGCGTGTTTCTTGCCATCGACCAAGTCTTCCGGACAGCTGACCTTGGCCCGGGCTCTCACTATTTTCTTCGCTGCCCGCACTACGTTTAGAATCCTGTCTCTTGCACATCTATCAGAGCTCAAGGGCTAGGTGCCAAAATACGAAGCATCTCTTAATATGGACACCCACTGTACATGAAAATACTCCCGTGATTCCACCTCCGTCTGTGGCATCAGTCTGTTGATCCTTGACGATGGCCGCAACCATACTCCTAAAGCTTAAAAGCGCAATCAAAAACTCCAACTCCCACACCCCAAACCTTGAACCCATCAAACTGCCAAACCCCCAAAGCATCCCAAAACCCTCAAGCGCAACGGACACGCTCAGTGCCAAGCGCCCCAGTCGAAGGTTCCCCGGCTGATGGAGAGGTCCCGGAGCTGGCAGTTACCCAATTAGGACTTGCTTGGTTTTGAGGGTTTAGGGCTATGTTCCGGAACCCCGTGGGGAGGGTGAAGAATTCAACCGGAGTGCCCGTAGTCGAGGACCCGCTCCTGAATTCAAAAGATTCACATACCACAAGAATTACGCAAACTCTAGGTTGCCAGATGGGCTGGACAGGATTTTCTAAACATCATGGTCCCCACACCCTCAAAGAATCAAGCGCTCATGCCTGGGAAACTCCGTGGGACCCTGATTGTCGATAAACAGCCGTAACCAGTCGGGACCAGCACGCTTTTTCCGCAGGATGCATAGACGCATGAGCATTTCTCAAGACTAGCGTGGGTTCGCGAAGGTGGCTCAAGAACACGACTTTACTGCAAGATCCCAAAAGGGCGCTCCGAGTCTCGAGAAACTCCCATATCCACTTTGCTGGAGCTGTCTCTGCAGCTGAAAACTCCGAGCTGAAAACCGGACTCTAAGCTTTGCAACAGTCCTCTCAAACAACACCAAGCTGCCATGTTGATCCCTGTAACAAGCACCCCTAACAGGTCGCCCTGTGCTTTCTGCTTCCCATGTTTGCAGGAGAATCTGTACCCTTACAAATACGTTCCTATGTTACTCCTTCTAGCATGGCTCTTGAAGCCATGAACTGGCAGCGAAGCAATCCCTGCTTTTCACAAGCTGCACTTTCATTGATCCTTAGCAAGTGCGATCAAAGGGCAGCTTGAAGTTTCTCGCTTCGTGTTGTATAGTAGCGCGGATTCAAGCTAGCATGCTGCAAAATCATAAACGAACCACTTTGGGCCTCAGGTCTTCAACGTCCTCAGGCAAACAGAACTGATCCATGCCGGAACTCAGCCGAACAAAAGCGGTTGTTCACCGCCGTGGATGATTGCAGTCCCGGCACTTTGCAGAAGTGGCGCCGCAATGCTTCCGCAGCTTTGTGCGCACTGTATACGCATCCTGAGATTAGAGGCGGGACAAGAGATCAGGGCTACGTCTACCTTCAAGGCTTCATTCAGAGCTGTGTGTCCTTCGAAATTGCCAGAAGGAGCCATGGCATCACCGCCTCAGATACGCGGCTGTCAGCGAATTCCCCAGCTTTTCCTACCACCAGCAAGGGCACAGCTCAGTTTGACAGAGCCACAAAGGAGACCCAGCGCCGTGTCTGTGCGGAAAAGGTCCACACAGCCCGGGGCCGCCTGCTTGATTTCGGAACTTCAGCTGCCATGTCGGTTGTTCTCAAAATTATGGGCCCCTTTTGGTTATAGAATATGTTTAGGTACCTAACAGATTTAGGAGTACCAAAATCGGACCTTAGTTTTGGGAACTGCCCATGTGAGCAGCTATCTTCGTCGTCTGGCCTCCTTGGCCTCTTCTGCAGGCCATACCCAGTCAGGCGCAAGCTTCCCGCCACCGAAGCCTGCGAATCCGGGTGCTGGATTGCATGATGGTTGTGCTAGGACAAGTGCTGCGCCTTTGTAGACCTGGCTGTACTTCCACTTGTGGACCTTCGAGCCCTGGCCAGTTGGCATGAGCCCCAGATAACCATCACAGCCACAATGGCCAACTAATTCCAGCCATCAAAAGCTTGTAGATGGTCAACTGAGGGCAGGTGCAGAAATGATAGTCATAAACCCATGAGTGCTGTCTAAGAGAACATTCAAGTCTATGCTATGACAGAAAACGACAACTGCGACAATAGTGACAAAGAAGACGTCTTGATAGATCGTATCAGACGCGACTGCCAAATACAACAACTAGAACGATAACGCTGGACAATGACAATAATTCTGATTCTGAGGCTGGTGGTGGTGCATCTGCTGCTCCTGCCAATGATCATGATCATGATCGGCGGCGGCGGCGGCAGCGTTGGTGGTGGTGGTGGCGGTGGGTGCAAGGGCGTGTGGTGAGCATGATTCTGACGGTGCTGACGACTGGGAGAAGATTGATTACAGAGGTTGAAGATAAGTGATTACAATGAAAGATAATAGACTGCTGGCTAAACCAGCCATAGACTCAACAGGACTTTGTTTTCACAAGCGTAAAAAATTGCTCAGCCTTTGACTGCTTAAGCGAGTTCAAAGACAGGAAAGCAGCCCTGAGGGCCTCAGCTCCGCCCCATGGCAGTTCAGGCAGCTTGGCCTGGCGCCAGCAGAGCGAGAAAAGATAATGCGCACTGCGCTGATCCAACCTCGAGGTCGCGCTGCAGGCGTGCAGCCGCCGTTGGGAACGGGTCCTCGTTTGACAGAACCTATTCATATGTGCAGTCACGTAGCACAGCCTGAACACCAACACCAAATGCCAAAGTCCTCCTCATCCTTTAACTCAATGCCAAGCGGAACGCCGCTATGCACAAGCACGGAGATCATGGTCTCGTGAGTGGAGTGACGTTTTGCCGAGTCGTGCGCTACGTACCGTACGTCACCTTTATCGAAATACTGGCAGGTCCAGGAAAATGGCCATGTCACCTTGGCCTTGTCGAAGAAGTAGGCTACAGCGAAGCGCGAGGAATACTCTACCTTCTTAAGCCCTGCGGCCGTGGCCTCTGGTGTGTACTGGAGAAAGCTGCCTCTCATTCCAAACTTACTGGCACCCAGAACCTGCGGCGGTGGCTGCGTCAACACCACCACGTTGGCTGCAGCCGCCTCTGCTGGCAGAGTTCCTTCCTTCACCGACACAGAGACCTCTCCAGCTTCTGACAAAGTCAAGTCATCCACAGCTACACCCCAATCCACCGGAACACCTGACGACTCCAGCAGATACTGAGAGACTGACTTCAAGCCGTTCGGAGCTGTGAAGTGTCGCACATCCGCACTTGCAGCTCCGTAGGGATTGGGGCCTGCAATCTCCGCAGTGAAGGGCTTGAGCACACCAGCATCGCACAGCCGCTTGTAGAGCGGACCCAGTATCGGATGATCGGGTGAGCTCCTAGTCGTGATATACTGTGCTCCAAGATCTGCCTGAGCCAGCACCGGGGACGAGCGGTCCCCTTGGCGATAGGTGTAAGTGGCCATGCGTCCGCCGGCTCCACGCGACTTCTCCAGCACGCGCACAGAAAGGCCCATGTCCTTGACCAGCAGGGCCAGCATGGAGCCGGTCACACCGGCTCCAACAATCAGGATCTGCGGAGCCATGCTGGGCAGCGAATGCAGCGAGGCTCCCAAGCCTAACCCAAACTTGCAGATTCCGTGAGTCAAGACATAGACACAACTCAGACTTTGCCCTGGAAGCTGCTGATTTCCATAACATGCTGTGCAAACAGCTGCAGTCGTGGGCAAGGTTAGCTCTCCGACAACATGTGCTCTGCACAACGGGCAGCGGATGCACCCGGTAGGCAATGGGACCTCGATGGACTTCAGCCGCTCAAGGATCTCATTTCTGTACCTGACCACAAGCCACACAAGCCACAAGCAAGACTCCGCACTCTGTGCTTCTCACAGGCGTCCAGACTGGGAGCGAAGCTGGGCTGGCTGAATAAACTCCAGATTGTCCTGCCCAGAAACAGTAACAGGGTGCTGGCGACAAGAGCACAGCAAGTTTATTGGCTACTTGTTATAAGTACTTGCCGCCCACAAAGTACGCCTCGATGAGCTTGACCACCTTTTCCTGGTACTTGGACAAGCGGAAGAAGAAGCTTGGCTCAGACCTCGCTGAGTTCCACAGCTTCGTCTCACCCTACAAGTGAAGTCAAAATCAGAATGGCTGTCTTTCCACAGTGCAGCTTCTCGATGTATCAAGGAAGACTATGTGCACCAAACTCTGTTGACACTTGTACTGGCACGCTTCTTCAACCTTACCAACAAAAGACCCAATGACATCCAATGACAAGACTGTGCCACTGTGTACGCGGCATCTTCTTCAGCGGAGCTCCGGAGGTGGGGTCCTGCGGCTGCCAGGTCTGAAACCGCGTCATGAGAACAGCAATCTGCATAGATTCAAGAATACACATCCAAGTGCCTGTTCTGAGCATATTGGCTGGTGCCATGAATCTGAGAACAACTTAGACGAAAGTGGTACAACAGGGTCTTCTGACATCTAGTGAGAAGTCCCAGGATCTCTCCACTAAACGATCAAAAGCAGTTGGGTTGTTCGCTTCCTCAGACCCTGCAGGCCTTGAAGTTCCACTCCTGCGCCTCCTGATCTGTTATGAAACGCTCCTCTCGGACCATGTACCTGTCGTCCGAGGTTGCTTCTGGCTTTGTCCCAAGGACACGGCGTAGGATGCAAAGGGGAGTGTGCGCACCAGCCCTCGTAGCGGTCGAGGTAGATGTCCCCCTTCTTCTTGCAGATGTCCCAAACTGACCTAGCAACTGCCTCGGCATTTTCTCATGTAGAAAGCTCTGGACCACGGCAGCTCTCACAGCTCTCTCAGAGGAGCGAGGCCTTGTGGCGGTCAGCTGTCGTGCGAACGTAGAAATCATTCGACACCTCTATGCCAAGCACGGCATCACATTCACAGGAGGAGTACAATGAGCCCAAAGCATTCAAACGTTGATTCAGCGCCCTGAAGCCAAGGCCTCGTTGAAAGACACGTTCGGTACAAGTAGCATTTTTGAGACCTTCTCTTCCCCTCGAATGCCATGGCTGTAACTGACATGCCATGGCAACGAGGCCGCGGCAGTAGCGATCGCAGATCTCTTGGGGCTGGAGGCCCTCGCTCTCTGCGGTTTGAGCAATTTTCTGCCTTTGGATGCACGATAGTTTACTTTGCCAAAACATAATGCGTCCATGGATGGAGCGGCTAAGTCAAGCGCCCGTGCTCATCAGCGCCAGTCATAAAGAATACATCCTGCCCGAGCAGGCGATGGTACCTGAAAGCATGAACACACATTCATTGCGGCAGCCTAGCCAATGTTGAAAACAATTTCCAGCCTGGCAAAAACATCTGAGGTTAATGCCTCATAGGCATGGCCTTCCCAGGCAGCATGCTGCAGGCTTGAGGGTGTAGAAGCACAAAATCATGCTATGGGAAGTAAAGGCTCCGCAGAACTTTGACCCAAGACCCGTGACCTAGGCTATGGCCTCGGCTTGCAGCCAACTAACGCAGCTCACCTCACACCCTCACACCACGAAGCTTTGCTCAAGTCAACTCTGGCCTATATGTGGCCAGCCATTGCAGTAGTTGATGGCGGTAGTGATATAGTACCTGCATGACTGCCGACGAACGGGCATTCAAACGCAATTGCAAGGCATGAAACTACTTCTACATGACTGGGACACCAGGCTGACCGACAATCCTATGCTGAGTCATCAGCATGCGTGACTTGTCCAGGAGAGCTTGCTCTGCGACAAGGCGCACCGCCCATAGTGCCCCTTTTCACTGTCAGGAAAGCACTTCCCGCCTGCAATCCAACCGCTCGAATGTCCCAAGAATGCTTGCAGAAGCTTCGCCGTCCATCTGCAGAAACGTCATGACACACGAGAGTCTCCCCCTGCCTGTCCCTCTTTTTACAGAGTCATCACCTTGCACCAGGCGTCGATCTTCGACTGGTTCTACCTACCAGCTGGCATCCGAACATATCCGAACGCTGGAAGGGCTTTCATCGAGCCTTGCAGTCAAATGGCAGAACCTGCTTCTCTTTTCCTGGTGCGCGCGGGCCCTGGCAAGGCTGGCACTGCTCAAATGGCACTAGTGGAAATGGTCAAACAGTGGTCAAACTGATGCAAACTCTCTTCGGGTGAGGCCTTCTTGGACTCCTGTCCTTCACCGGCCTTGTCCTCACCAGATCTGCTTCGGACTGCCATTTCAAAGACCTTCGCAATCCAGGAAGTCCTGCGGGCTCTGTCCCGGCCACACGTGATAGGGAGCGTGGCGAGCTCGCAGACCGGCGATGTGGTTGTACCTTGGCTACAGCTCCGACAGCTTCGCCGAGTAAGCATCGACTTTGTCCGGATTGGGCCACAGGCCATCTCAGCAAGTGGGGGTACTGCGGCAGGCTCATTCAGATTCAGACTCTCATGTTCCCAAATCAGCATTGTTCAGCCTGCTGTCGGTCTGGCCGAGAGTGAACTTGGGCAAAAAGTGCCATGTCCTGCACAGAGCCAAGGCCAAAAGGCTGAACTGGAACCGTGCCCGCATCACGGAAAGAAACTTGATCACCTACCTCTGCGGTGGCATAGGTGAGGCCACCAACATAGGACCTGGCACCGTGGATAGCTGGAAAAAGAACAAGACATAACAGACTGATCAGCAGAGTACCTGGATGAAAGCAGCTCATTGAGCTCCGCAAGCCCTCTCTCGGTTCGGAGGCTTCCGACGGCAGAAGCCTCAAGATGACTAGCTAGCTCGATTAAGCTGCGCGGAAGCACCACAAAGCCTGAAGATGACCGAATCCCTTTCTTTATCCATTTCCTTTACACCATGTATACTCGGTACATGTGCATTGCTGAGCCCCGTGCCTTCGGCGGCATTCCAGCCTCTTCCGTTTGACTAGCTGTGAATCAATTTGTGCAACAATGAGAAGGTGGCTGGTGTGAAGGATGGATCGTCAGCTGCACTTTCGCGCTTCTTCGCGGGTCTCGCCTGCTTGCGCCTCGCCGGCGCCACACGCCCAGGCCTCAGCGGACTCCAGGCTCATTTTCCCGGCGCAAACGCTCTCTACACTTACATTGGGAGCACCATGACCTGCACTGAGTAATGGACTTTCAGATTCCGCCGCGACAAGGCTGGACTTAGTTACGTGTTCCCAGTTTCGTTATCTAGAACCGATGGTGTCATTGCTTCGTGGAGAAGAACACATAGACGTCAATTTTTTGTCAGCTGAATCGTATAACTGGCGTGACCTGAGGATTGCTCTTGAAGTAGCCGCCCTGTGCTTGAAATGAGCAGACCTTTCAACAACATGCCAGGCCCCCTTATTGCTCAGCGCATGGCTGCGCAGCATCACAAACAAAGAGATGAAGCAAGGAGATACAAAGGCTTCAGTGTGCCCATCAAACTAGCACAGTCTTCAGATTGTGCCAGACTCTCAACTCACAAGAAACTATGTGGTCTCGCGCACTTGCCTGCCCACTGGGCAGTTTTTTTCTGGATTTTGCCAGGTCAGCATCACCAGCGTCAGAGCCCGTCGCCTGCTGCAGAGATCTAGGCACAATGTACGGGAATGCCAGCAGAACATTACAATGCGTTCCACGCACATCTTGCATTGAAGAGCCTTTTGGCGGTTCCTTTTCCTGGCAAGTCCAGCAAGATGCAACATGAGGCTATGCAAGGATGGCCAAAGCCTCCGCTCTCGCCGTCTCGTGGCAGCATCGTCTTTGGCCGCCTCCAGAATGGCTTTTGCTTGCCCCAAGGGTCTCATGACAGCTGAAAAAGCATTTGATGAGACTCGAGGTGTTAAACCAGTTGTGTAGGAAAGCTGCGGGCAGCGCCTGTTTTGCCTCTGCTTCGGCCAATATTTGGCTCAAAGCGTCTCCTGTTGAGAGCTTCGTTTGCTGCCCACAAAAATTGAATTGCGACTTGCGTGGCACGGAAGCAGTTGTGAACGCTGCATGTTTTTCCGCAGACGAGCGCTCGTCTCACAAGTTGCTCTTTGGCTTGGGAAACGGATCGATGTCCACATAGCTCTCATTAAGCTCGAAGCCTGTGAAAAAGACTCCAGTTGCCATGCAAGGCATGCACAAGCTCAACTGCTCACTGGTTGTTAGTAGGGAATGGAAGAATGGAAAGACTGAGGAAGCAGCGAGGTGCTCGGCGCTCCAATGACGCCTTCACAGCAACTCTGACGCGCGGAAGGCAGGGGCAAAGACATGCTGCAGCCTATCAGATCTATGGGGGCTTGGGGTTTAGACTGGCGCAGCTTTGCTCATGTTTTTGATGAGAAGATCTCCCGGCCTTGAGGCCTTCCTGGAGGTCCTGTGTGGCGTAGCAGTGAGCCTGAGCCTGAGAGGTATCCGTCGCTTTCTTTCGGCTTCCCTCATGCACTCCATCAGCCCTTGAAAGAGAAGCTGTCAAAGACTGTTCAGGGCCGCTTGGGATCGGGCATCAGCCTCGCGCCACAAGGCCGCCTCCAGGCCCTCCTCCTGCTTCCGGCGTAACGACCGCACCAGGGAGCGGACTGCCACAGGAGCCTGGCAGGCAATGCGCTCGGCCAGCGCCATGGCGTGCGCTTGGGCGGAAGGGCCATCCGGCGCCAACTGCGAAACCAAGCGTAGCTCCTTTGCCTCTTGTCCCGTCACAAGGTCTCCAGTAAGAAGAAGCCGGTAAGCGGTTTCATAGCCAGCAACACTTGCAATTATGTGCGTGGCGCCCATGCCTGGGTGGAGCCCAAGGGTCACGAAAGGAAAGCCCATCTTCGCAGTCTCCGAGGCCACGCGGATGTCACATGCCATTGCCAAGCACATGCCAGCTCCCACAGCAGGCCCGTTGATTGCGGCCACAACAGGAATAGGCAGAGTTCGGATTGCAAGGAAACGATGGTAGAAGTCATGCATGATCTGTGAATTCCTGGAGGCTGTGTCTTTGCTCCGCAGCTTCAACCACGCGAGGTCGCCTCCAGCTGAGAATGACTTCCCGGCGCCAGTGATCACGACAGCTCCGTACTCAGACGCGTCTGTCTTGATCGCATCTAGGATTTTGCCGAAATCATCTACCACCTGTGACGTCATTGCGTTCATTTTCTCTGGCATGTTCAAAAGTATTCTGGCAACCCGCCCGACACGTTCCAGCTTGACTGCCGGCATGGCGACAGGGATGTAGCTTGATAAGCAGGTAAAAAAAGCAAAGACTAGTCAAACATGCAGCTCTATCTCAAGGTAGCAATCCCATCTGCAACCTTCAAATCGAATTAAGCTCAATCGCCTACATGGTCAAATATGGTAAGCTTTACTTGCCAGCCTCGAGGCTCAAACTGCCCAAGCCACCACAGGTCACACGAATTTCATCAAACGCTATGCATGAGCTTGCTCCGCTTGCTGCGCCAACGAAGGCCCAAAATCCTTCTGAGCATGTGCTCCGTTTCTCCCCTGCTTCCCCGAAACTGTACAAGAAATGCCATCTTTGCTCACAAAGGTGGCCACTAAGATGGATTTGATCACATCCTAACACAGGTAGTGGGCGGCGGGCTGAGACTCAGCCATGCAGCCTCGAAAACAAGCAAGAAGTTTGGAGCTTAAACGTAGCCCTCTTGCGCTCTGGCATGCGCCTGGTATGCACCTGGTGAGACCTCTGAATTCAGTTGGCTGCCTCAACTTGCTGAGGCAGGGAAGGGAACAGCGCTGCAGACGGTCGCCAAAAGTTGAGGTCCTGATGCAATGAGTATGCCATGGATGTGACGGATTCAACGGCATTCTCAAGCTGGGCTTTGCTGGCTTTGGGATGCCTCGGCTGCGGAGGCTAACAACCATGGACAGTCTCGACTCCAAGCCACACCTCACCACCAAGGCTTCCCAAGGTTCTCAAAGCTTGCCAAGCTTGCCTGAAGCTGAGGTGCAAACCGTTCACTTCCTGGCCCGAATGACCTCCATGAACCTGGAAAGCAGTCGGTGACTACTGCAAAACAAAAAGGATCGGGAAGGCCAAGCGGTGAGGTGATGTGAGGTGCGCAGATCTGTGTGGGAGGACAAGCCTGCAGCCTGTCACTTCTCGCAGGTCTGCTTCTAAGGGCTCGGCAAAAACCGCTCCAGCCGGCTCATCGCATGCCTGCCACATTCTTCAGCGTTGGGCTATGGACGCTTTGGAATTCCGGCATCGAGGCTACTGCAACCCAGAGTCCCGAGCCCAAGCTTGTGATCCCCTCTGCGTGCTTGAATCCCCATATGCCCATTGCAGCCCACTAACAAGCGAAGAGCGGCCTACCCTGCATATGAAACATGTCATCCTGTGAAACATGGCTGGAGACACCAGGCTCTCTGCATCCTCATGCCGTGCTTCAATTGAACTCACGTCCCACAGCCTTAGGCTTCTCAGTCTCAAAGGGCCCATTGCAGGTTCACACCCAGGCTGCCTGTACCTGGTACCTGAGGCTCCAGCACGACTCGGCCGTCTCCGTAGGCTGCTGCTAGCCTCGGACGTATCCCACCAAAAAAACACAACAAGTGGCCGGCACCTCTGCTGCTCTCAGGGTCCCTGATCATCCGGGTTGGCTTTCGCAGAGTTTGGCATGCGCTGGTTTTGCTACACGCCATTGCGCAGATGGGTAGTCTGGGAGAAGGACTCCCGAGCACTGCCATCAGTCCATGAGGACCTCCTAAGATTCTGTGGAAGGGCAGTGCTGGGGTGCAGTAGCCAGCCTACCACCGCTTTCAGCACTCTGCCCATGCCCTGCGCGAGTTGCACAGACAGCAGCAAGCATTCAGTGCCCTGCGCTTCTTCTTTGGGGCTTGGCTCTGACACGGTGAGAGCGGCGTCTGCAGCTTCTCCACGAGGGAGTCATGCCATCGCTGCTCAGCCACTGGAAATCAGCATGCGAAAATGCGGTGTCCGGTACTCGTCGCATGCCGAAAGGACGGGATACAAAGAATTTGGTGCAATCCCTGGCATTGCCACACAGGATCACGGAGCCTCTGTTCGAGGCGCGTTGCAGAGTGCACTTAGCGGCATGCGTCCCAAAGCTTCTTTCGATACAGCAACAAATGAACTAAGAATAGTAACCTCTCTGCCATTCAAGTGCATTCCCCGCAAGCGTGCTGGTGCCGCCTGGTCAACATTATCAGACAACTTCCCATACTCCATGAAAGAACCCGCTCACATGTCTCAGCTGCTGAGAAACACACCACACACCAACGGCCAGTCAGCAGAAGTGAAACTGACGGAACGGCTGGGCAGGAACAGGAGAAATCGAGCCCATTGAAATCGACTGGGTGCGCGATCATCGCCGAAAGGCTTGGGCGCTGCGTCTCAGACCGAAAGCAAAGAAGGTTCTCAGGGAGGTGGTTCAAATCAATGTGCATGCTGTTGAATGCTGTTGTACCAGAGTGGCGTGGCCCCAAAGGACACACGGTTCGTCGAGATCAGACTGATGTTGCAGCACGAAGTTCGAATTGTCTGGGCGATGCTGCACCATCTGGCAAAAAGCACACTTAGTCTGCCTTGTGTTGCTTGTCCCCTTTTACCTCATGCGTGCTACTTGCCTGGATTGCTTGGATGGAAAAAGGAGGCGTTGCATCAGGAGATTCCTGACCACAAACTTCCGCTTCAAAAGCTATGTCCCCTGATGCAAGCAGCTTGAAAATTGAGCAGTGCCTGCATCCGTGCAGGCCTCGAAAATGTCAATGCACATTGCTCATGGAGGCCACTACACTCAATTTTGGTTCTTCCGAAAGTTGAGAAATAAGTTGAACCGCTTTATGTTGAACACATTACTACTATAGGCAGCTAGAAAAAGTGCAAGGAGCATTGCTTCCTCACCAGAATCAGTTTTGATTTCAAGCAGTTGCTTGCTTTCTTAAGCATGAGCCAGCAGGCTCGCAGGTGCAACTGGAATCCGGCCGAAGTCCTCAGCTGAAGGTTTTGTAGCCCAAAGCCGCAACATGCGGCAACCTAAAAACATGCCAGGGATGGAAAAGAAATAGCCATGTCCAACAATTTGGCTTCAAAGGCTTCAGGCAAACAGGGCAAGTCCAAATCGAGTTCGGATCAAGAGACATCGTGTTGATCAGCCGCCCATGGCAAGATCTGGTTGCCTTGGGGTATCTGTCTAGTCGCTGTGCCCCTTTTCCTCAAATCACGGTGCCTTTTTGCCTTTTGTCTTGATTTGCATCCAAGGGGCGGCATCGCAACTGCCTCAGCTGCAAGGGACATCAAGTTCGAGCATCTGCAATATACTGCTGCGTGAGTTTCCCCCAGAAGCAGTGACCATCGAACTTCATGCAGGAAAGTTGCCATAGGCATGCACATTGGGACCATTGGCGACTGCATAGGCTGCATAGGCTGCATAGGCTGCATAGGCTGCATAGGCTGCATGGGCTGCATGGGCTGCATCATGTTGCCGAAATTCATGTTGCCGCTGGCCTGCCATAAGCGTGGGGGCAAAGCTGTACTCAGGTTCTCGCTACATGAATTGCTTTGCTTTTCTTGCTGACAAGGCCTCCATGGGCTGCATGACCACAAACCTTGCAGGTCACAACAATTAGCTGTGGCCTGATGCAACCCTGCAACCTCACACTTTCCAATTCGGGCAAGAAGCTGGTACTGCATGGCTGGCGAGACGCATGACGCCTGCGGAAGAAAAGTCAGCGAATATGATGAATGACTTCAAAAAATTCAGTCGACCGAATCTTGTCAGCGCTTTGAGGACGTCTGAAAGCATGTTCTTGAGAGAGTCTTGATCCATGAGCTAGAGCCAAGGAGCCTGGTTTGCAGGATTGTAGCCGTGACGCCACACCAGCTGTCCACAGTGGCTGCAGTACGGGCCACTGTTACAAGTCGGGCATACCTTGTCTGACCAGCCACTAGCACTGCCAAGTCCAAAAGAAAATGCTGCCAGGCTGCATTGTCGTTTCGCTTGGGCTCAGATTCCTTCCTGGCCTGAACGCGCTTGGGTGTGCTGGGACTCTGGCATGCTGATGCCCGGTAATGCACTAAGGCTCTTGACACATTTGCTAGCGCTTCTCGCAAGTGTCGAAGCTGCAGCTGAAGGACTGTGTTCACCGAGGCTTTTGACGATGAAGTTGCCGGAATATCAGGCACTTGCCAGGAAGCTTCCTTGAGGCAGAAAGCTTCAAGTTAGCTTTGAGCACAAAGGTCTCTGTGCCATCCTTTGTTTAATCTTGCGCCAAGCCTGCTTGTCCTCATCTGGCAGCGTGTAGCCTTGAGCTTGAAGACAACTTAAGTATCACTTACAGAGCGATACAGAAAGAACAGAGAGAACACCTGTGAACCCGCCGCGCAGCTCGCCGGATCTTCCAGAAAGATCTTCACTTCCTCGATTGCTCGCGCAACGTTGGCGTTGAGACCCATCACGGAGACGCCACGACCTGCTCAAAATCTCTTCTTCCAGCATCAACGCAGCAGGGGGCATTCCGATCTGCTACCGTCCTTGGATTCGGAAAGTGGCGTTGCAGGCCTGAGGCAGCGCAAGAACCAGCACAGCAATGCCACAGATTTCTTGAAGCCAACTGCAGCCACCGTAAGAGGATTGATATTAGCAGCGCTTGGAATGGGCTATAGCGCGGAATTGCATGCACCTGAAAAGCCTGCTACCCATTGCAGCAGGAGCCGAGAAGCATGTGCGATGCTCTGCAGGATCGGCGAGCTCCTCAGAGCAGAATACAAGTGTTGAAAATCCTTCCAAATGCCGGTGGCTGGCAGCAAACAGCAGAAGCGCTGAGGAGGGCGCAGAATCGAGGGATCCACGCTCGCTTGGATTGTCTCCTCGCTACAGAGCGACTCCATCTCCTCGGTTTTTGAGGTTTCGGGTCAGCTGCCCACGCTCAGTAGCTGTACCTCCTGTGCAACCCAATTCCTGATCTCCTCCTGACTACAGTCTAGCACTTGTTCGAACGAACTACCATACCGCGCAATCTGCTCCATCATCACCGAATATCACCGACTACCATCATTTTCGCATCAACATCCGGGCACTTCTCCAAGTTTTTTTAAGCTCTGCGAATCCCAGCGGTAAATAGGAATTACAGGGGGATAAGGGGTTGCCACATGAGGGAGTCTTTAGCAGTCATTCCTGAGGGGTGTTTCTCACAATGGCTGCTTTCGACAGAATGGACAAGTCCCCACTACGCACTAT